TAATTTCAGTCTTTTTGTTATGACTCCAGCTGGCATTTTAGAAACTGATGCTGCTGGTGGTGGTTATGTGCCGTGGAGTCAGTTCCAACTCAGAGCAACCCTGTACAGGGTTTCCAAGGCTGTAAATCTTTACGGGAGCAGAAAGCCTCTTCTTTCTCCTGCGGAATGGCTGGTAGTTGCGAACTGACTGTGAGATTAGCAGCCTCACCCCACCCAAGACTCATAACCACTACACTATCAGAGCTCCTTTAGAAACTGATAGTCAAGTGAAAAGTAAGTAAAAGAGTCCCTAACCACTTCACTGATGATTCCTTTTGTTTGTTTGTTTCCATCAACCACTTCTATTGACTTTAAGCCTGGACAGAAGAGACATTGGTGAGCACTTAATACACCAAAATGAGGAAGAAGAAAATAAATCCTGCTTGCATATTTCCAAGAATGAATTTCATAGTGATTTATTCTAGGTGGTTATCAATGGACAATAAAGGCATTGCATTGTGGAGATCTAATTGTATGTAAATATTTGTCACAGTGTCATTTGTTCTCATTTACAAGGAAAGTAAACGTGCCAATATATGCTGAAAAATAGGTAGGGCATTCTTAAATGAAATTCATCAATATGGAAATAATTTAATAAATTCTTCAAAAAGAAAATAACTTCTACTTCAAAAGTGAATCTGCCAAAGCCAGATTTTTTTTTTTCAATCCATTCAAAGTTAAATTTTAGGTGTATTTGTTGTTGTTGTTAGGTGCCATCAGTATCAACTCACAGCGACCTTATGCACAACAGAACAAAACACTGCCTGGTCCTGGGCCAACCTCACAATTGCTGCCATGCTTGAGCCCTTGGACGCTGCCACTTTGCCAATCCATCTCACTGGGGTCTTCCTCTTTTTCTCTGACCAAACATGATCTCCTTCTCCAGTGACTGGTCCCTCCTGACAATATGTCCGAAGTACGAGAGACGCAGTTTGGCCATCTTGGCCTCCAAGGAGCACTCTGGCTGCACTTTTTCCAACTTCTGTTGGTTTTCTTGGCAGCCCTCGGTATTTTATCCACTCACTAAAAGATGGGTAACAATACTTAAAATAAACCTGATATTGATGAAAGAATATTTTATATAAGGTCATTTATTGATCCTCAAAAATTTAGCTTTTTTTTTTTAATGGAAATATGTGCTTATGAGAGAATCAAATTAGTTGTTCCAAAGATGGGTCTTAGTATTCTTTTGTTTTTGTATGTAACTATAACCCAAATGGATGGAAACTGAAAACCAGGGAGTGCTACATTGATAAGCATCGCAAAACTAGTACAAATATGCTGAGTAGATGTACTGTCTGATAATTTGTGAAAAAATATATGGGAGACTATAATAGTGCTACTAGGGTAAAAATATTCAGTGTAAAATGCAAAAATGTAAAGGTAAGTTAAAAGTCTAAAATACATAAAGATGCCCAATATTTTGTATTTTATGCTTTTAAAAATTAACTTAGAAAAGCCAAATTAGTACATTGACTCATAGAACTTTTCCAGACTTTAATACACTTAATTGCTTATGTTTCTTTCCAAATACAATTTTGCCCAGTTTACTTGTGTGAATGCTATCAAATTATCATACTAGATTATTACCAATACTGCTAGCTTGCATTTTTATGGTAGTCACACACTAAAATGTACTAAATGCTGTGCAAGTGTGAAAGCAATTAGTGCAAGAGTTAACTGCAGAATTAATAGGTCTGAATGACAACACAGCTGAAAACCACCACCTTACCCTTCCTTCTCACCTTTGCTTTCTTTAATGAACAATCCTTCTCTATAAACATTCCTTATGAAAACAACAGGAAGCAATCTGGGAACATTTCCTGCTGTAATGAAAGTTGATAAGTATCATTGAACTCAGTTACCCTCTTGGTTTTAAGAGTCCTAAAGAGTCCTGATGTGGCACTGTGGGCTAATACGTCAGACTGCAAAGTCATTTGAACTGCAAGGTTGGTGGTTCAAGTTCACCAGACGCTCCTTGGAAACCCTATACAGGGTCTCTATGGTTTAGAATTGACTAGACGGCAGTTAACAACAACAACAACAAAGAGGACATCGTTTTGGCTGTACTTACAGCCATACCTGAGTCCTGGTGTAGTGCTGCAGGTTAATGTGCTGGACTGCAAGGTTGGTTTGAACCACAAGGTCAGCTGTTCAAGCTCACCAGTTGCTCCTAGGAAACTCTACACAGGGTTGCTGTGAGTCAGAACCGACTCAATGGCACTTAAAAACAATAAAAGCGATACATTTTTTTTTTTTTTTTTATTTTGGCTGGGACTATGAAAAAGAGAGGAGATATTGGTGTAGGAGCATACATTTATTCAGCTTGTTTGGTCCTCACCAAAAGTACAATGCCTATCTTCAACAGATTATACTTCTGAAAGGTGAGGTGTGGTGCTGTAGGATAAGCACTAGACCACAAGTTCAGTTTGAATCACAAGGTCGCGGTTCCAATTCACCAGCAGCTCATCGGAAACACTCTACAGGGTCGTTATGCATAGGAACCGACTCGAAGACACTTAATAATAACATGCGTCCAGAAAAACATGAAACTATATACACATATAGTAGTTATAAAGGACTTCTGGTATGGTGCTGTACGTTCAGCACTGGACTGCAAACCACAAGGTCAGCAGTTCAAACCTGCCAGCTCCTCCTACTAAACCCTGTACAGGTTGCTGTGAGTTGGAATCAACTATGGCACTTATAATATTTGTTGTAACAGCAATGATTGTCAGCATGTTATGTTATTGTTAAGTGTTGTTGAGTAGTCCCCATTCATAGCAACCCTGTGGAGACTTTCTGAGGAGCAGCTGGTGGATTTGAACCGCCAACCTTCTGGTTGGTAGTCTGCCAATGTGTTATAGGAGTTTCAAAAACTATGGACTGCAATGAGGCCTAATTCCTTCTTAGGAAAATATGGGACTTGACCTGTTTCTCAGAAGTCAGATAAGCTTCAAACGGGGAGATGATTCTAAAGGGCATTTTAGGTATTCATTTTTCCTCATTAATCTAGTCATTCATTCACTTCATTAGTTGACTCAGACGCGTTAGAAGAACATCCATTTTATATTAGGAAATGTGTTCAGTGTTAGTGATAACTAAGATAATCCGAGAAACTCAGAGAGCTAAGGAGGCATTAGCAACTATGCCAAAGGTAAAACACATAAGACACTTGTGGAGAAATTAATGGGTTTGCATTTTGGAGTCCTGGTGTAGCTCTGTGGGATAAAGCACTAGACTGCAAGGTCAGTTTGAACCACAGCATTGGCAGTTCAAACTCACCAGCCGCTCCTTGGAAACCCTATACAGGGTTGCTATGAGTCAGTACCGACTTAATGGTACTTAACAACAACATGGAAGGTGCAGGGATATATTTGGAAGATTAGGTTAGAGGGAGATTTGATAAAATTTTGAATAATCATGCAAAAGTTCAACATGTTTTTGTTAAGTGCCATTGAGCTGGTTCTGATTCATAGTTTTTCCAGGGAGGGTCTGGTGAGTTTGAACTTCGGCTCCTGAGGTTAGCAATCCAGTGCTTATCCTACAGCACCACATCAAGACTCCTAATTTAACCAAATCACTTTCAACCTAGTGCCTTCTTGGTTCTAACTCATAGCAACTATATGCACAGCAAAACAAATCCTAGCCAGTCCTGTGCCATCCTCACAATTGTTAGTACGTTTGAGCCCATTGATGTGCCTCTGTGTGAATCGGTTTTGTTGGGGTCTTTGCTTTAC